GAGAGAGGCCCATAAGAAAGTCCCAGATCTGAATATCCCAAACGATGGGCAAGTTTGGAGCTAACTTCAGGGCTTTGGGCCCGTCTCTATTTCCCAGCTAATAGCTCTTCCCTGACGGTGCAATCAGCCACACCCTCATCTGTCTGTCACTCACCTGCCAATCAATAAAACCTCCTCCAACCGCACACCCCTAGTTATCATCTACCACCCCAAAATGGAACCCGTACGGGGTATCATCAAACAACATACTCTATGGGGACTCCATCTGAAAGAAATCTTCCCTGAACCCCCTCTTCTGGCCCTCAAACAACCCCCCAACCTAACTACGAACTGAAAGTGGCACCAGACCCTGTCAAAACAACAGATGCAAAACCTGCAGATGTATCTCCACTACTACAAGGATCAACTTCCCCCACAACACACCTTTCGAGATCCATAGGTCCTACACGTGCCTATCACAACATGTGGGGTACCTCATCCAGTGCACTAAATGCCCCCAATGACAACTATGGGTGAAACCAGACAGTCACTGCGCTCTCAAATGAACTCACACAGGAAAAGAATAAAAGATAAAAAACACCCTAAGACCCGTGGGTGAACACTTCTCACAAAGCCATCACTCCGTATCTGACCCCTCAGTCCTCGTCCTCAAAGGAAACCTGCACAACGCCTTCAAAAGATGAGCCTGGGAGCTTAAATTCATAACTTTGCTAGACATTAAAAATCATGGACTGAACAGAGAAGAGCAACAAAAATGACTAAAGATCTAGAAAACATGACCTAGGAGGGAAGATTGAAAAAATTGGTTTGTTTAGTCTGGAGAAGAGAAGACTGAGAGGGACATGATAACAGTTTTCAAGTACATAAAAGGTTGTTACAAGGAGGAGGGAGAGAAATTGTTCTTAACCTCTGAGGACAGGACAAGAAGCAATGGGTTAAAATTGCAGCAAGGGAGGTTTAGGTTGGACATTAGTAAAAACTTCCCAACTGTCAGGTTAGGCACTGAATAAATTAAGCACTGGAATAAATTGCCTAGGGAGGTTGTGGAATCTCCGTCACTGGAGATTTTAAAGAGCAGGTTAGACAAACACCTGTCAGGTACGTGACCCCACGTAACCCTCCCACCAATGTCTTGCTTCTGGCTTCTGCCCAGCGGGGAGGGGGCCTGGGGCTTCACCCCCACTGGGCACACCTGCCGGGGCTCGGGACCTCAGCAGGAGCAGGGTTTCAGCATCAAGCCCTAAGACCCCCCTGAAGCCCCCGGCAAGCGCAGCCCAGCTCTCAAACGTCTGAAGATATGCAGCTCAGAAGGTCAGTAAGTTTGGCCACACCTGGCTTATTACAACAAGCTGGAACTCACTAACCCCCCTTGCTGTCCTATGACTGCAGAGCGTTAACGGGCCCCGCTACCTGGAATGGTCCCTTGAAATAGGTGCTAACTCCTTACGCTAAATGATCTGTTCCACCTGTGAGGCTGCCAATTCCTTTCCCAGACCTCTGAGGAAGAGCTCTGTGTGGCTCAGAAGCTGGCCTCTCTCACCAACAGAAGTTGGCCCCATCAAAGCTATTCCCGCCCCCAGCTTGTCGCTCTGCTCACCTGCCAGGGCCGTTTCCTGGCTGCCCCCTTGACAAATCCACTCCTCACAGCACTGGGTTGGGCGTTTGACCCGGAGGGGGTGGGGGCAGTCCGGGGAGGGGAGCCGCAGGTCGTCGGCGCACAGGGGGATGCAGCCGACGGCGCCGTCCATGCAGATGCATTGCAGCTTGCAGGTGGGCTGGAAGCTCTCACCGTTGGGATAGATATTCCCCAGCAGGTCACAGGTCGCCCCCTCGTGGGCTGTAGGGAGAGATAATGTGGGGAGGGGGTGGAAGAGGGGGTGAGTTGATGGAGTGATTCAGCAGAAACGATCCAGGTGCTGAGGGCCAGGTCTCTTCCTCTAGGGGATTACGTGGGAACCAGAAATCAAAGCATGTAAACATCAGCTCCCCTGGCCTGAGATCTATGAATCCTGGGGACGTAACCGGCTCTTCCCACAGGCATCTGGGGTCCCAAGCAGCCAGGTTAGAGTCTTTTCCTTGAGTGTCTGTCCAAGGGGAGCCTGAGTTCACCAGGGACCAGGCTGCACCCCTCCCCCCAGGGTAAGCAAGCCCTTCTAATTGAATTTGCATGGCTGGACAAGGGCCGCTTCACCTGCTGCGAACTGAGCCCCCATCCAAAAATGAGGAGGGCCAGGTGTGACCTCTCTGTTCACAAACCCATCGAGCAAGCCAGTAATGCGTCGGTGCAGCTCTGCTCAAAGCTGCATTGACTAGCCCCACCTCTGAGACCGGCTGGTAAGATCCTGTCTCTGTGTGGGGGACGGACTAGGTGACCTTGAGGTCTGGTCCAAGCCTCCGTTGCTACGGTCCAGCTAAATGCTTTGGATGGACAGTGCTGCGGGAGCACGGGGTGCTGACGTTAGGATCTGTCGTTTTAGGTTACAGCGGAGGGCACTAGCACCCTGCAGGACTGACCACAGCTTCGAGATCTACCCGACTGGGTGAGTGCCCAGGCAAGAAGAAACTGGCGGCTCCAGTTATCACGAGGAGCGATGAAGAAGCTGGCTGACAGTTCCCGTGTGCAGAGCTAGTCTGGAGGAAGAGCTACTGCCTGGAGCACTCTCTGGTAGAGAGCAGGTCCTCTCACCAGTACAGCAGTACTTGAGTAGGGATGGGCTCAAGACCAGATCTCAAACACCCCAAAGTTCTGGGTAGTTTGGATCCAGTGCCTTGGTTTTGCTCCATTGCCTAGGGCCAGGTTGTGAACCCCATTGACAAGACTATTCATGTGAGTTACGCCCCCTGGGGCTTGCTCTGTGTCCGTACAGCACCTAGCACAATGGGGTCCTGGTCCATGACTGGGGCTGCTAGGTGCTACCACAATGCTAATAAAGAACTGCTCAGCAGTGAGAGCACGTGGTTCACAATCTGGCGCACAGGGATCATATCAGGGCAGCTCTGGCTGATTTCTTTCAGAGACGGATCTGGGAAAAGGACCCAGGTAACCTGGTGCAATTGGAGTCTCTAGCATCTGGCTTGCTGGCCTATTTGGGGTATTCCCCATACTGCGCTCTCCTTTCTGAAACTTGTCTTCCACTCCCCATCCCCACCTGCTCGCTGAGCTAATGCCAGACGGTCTGATATTCCTTGGAGAAACCTCTTTTCCAGTCGGATGGGCTGCTAAGTGGAACCAGGTCTTTACACCCATCCAACTTGTAAACAGCCTCCTCTTAACTCAAAGAGTTTCTCTGCCAGGATCTAACAAAGTGCCCCAAGTCAATGGTATGGTGCAAGATGCATTCTTGATATGACACACTAGCCAAAAACTTTGCGGCTAGATATCCCTATAAGACAAAAAGGCAACATTCCTCTGAGTGCAGTCAATTTCCCACGTTTAAAGGTGGCTTGCAAAAGGAAAAACAAATAGGGTTTGTACCCATTCAGGAATTCTTTACATCATAAAAAAGGACCCTTCCCTGCCCCACCATTTTTTCCCCAGTAGGTGCCTGGATCTTGTCCATCCTGATTTTCCTGAAAGAATCTGTGTGACTGGAGACTTGGCAGGGTGTGACGTCAGACAATGCAAGTGAAACCCAATCCAATCAAAATCTCACTTTCCCTCCCAGCTTTTTAAAGCTTCTTGTTTTCCATTTGTTTTTGTTGATGTCTATTCAACTCAAAGGTTTGGAAGATACTTGGGAGAAATGTGCTCTTTGTTAAAGACTGACCATACCAACCTTTCAACGGAGGGCTGAGAAATCCTCCAGTTCAAGGCAGAGACTTTCAAGAAGTTCTCCAGCAAGGCCAAGGAACATCAGATTTAATGTTCCAGCTATTTCTAAGCTAAGGAGAACAAGTAGACCCAGTCTCTAATTTAAAAAAAAAATCTTTTATAAATCATAAAGCAGCAAAAAGAGGAAGAAACCACTGTCTTAGCCACAAGACCAGCCTCCCTCATATATGCTGCACAATGGTCCAATAAAGCTTTATCGCTGAACCAGGTAAGGGGGCCATTTCCCTTGGTGAGAATGAACCGTAGCAACGAACAAGCAGCCTGTCTTTGCAGCATTAATCTAAAGGCATCCTAAAACCTTTCTTGCCTTGGCTACCACGTGCCAACACTACAGCAGTTTATCTTAGTGCAACGTTTCCCGTGCTCCATCTTTCCAGAAGTTACACACACTGCAGCCCCGGAAGTCAGTTTCCAGCCTCGTGTTTGTATGGTTGATTTTAACACTAACCCAGCACAGAGCGTTCGAGACCTGCACTACACAGCGTTCTGAGAACAGTCCATCTTGTCATGTGTTCCCGATGGGCTCGTTCACGTAAGGGTGGGTGCTTCTTACTCAGATGAAAGTGTCTCCCCTTTCTTTAACTCCTTTCTCTGCTGGGGAGCACATAGTTCTGGTTGATGTGGGTTCAGACTGGTAATATCTTTTGTTGGACCATCTTCTGTTGGTGAGAGAGACAAGCTTTTGAGCTTACTCAAAGTGTGTTTAAAGTGGGAAATTAAAGGTTTCCCAGGCCTGAAAAAGAGCTCTGTGTAAACTCAAAAGCTTGTCTCTCTCACCAGCAGAAGTTGGCCCAATAAAAGATATTCCCTCACCTACCTTGTACCCCTCAGGCAGAAATTTTCCAGCCCTGGTGTCTGTCCAAGGGCAAATTTTTTTTTTAAAGTTTGAGCCAGAAAATGATTCCACTGTTTTTTGGGAAGGAAAACAAAGAAAAGGGGGAAGGGAGAAATATACTTCCTCCACTATGAAAAAACAAGTCTTGATTTATTTATTTTTAAACAGTCCAACTGGCACAATGGCTCTGGCTAAAAAGCTGATATTGGGCAGGGATGTAGTAGCCTTCGCTGAGAGACGCTCCAGGAGGGGTCTGGTGAAAACAGGTTTGCATTTGCTGTTTTCAGGATTCGTAGAGGCCAGTCGGCGCATACACACTCTTTTGCAAATGATATTTTTGGCCATTTCTATTAATGTTTTGAACACAGGAAGGCCGCGACATCACAAACAGACTGAAAGAAGGTGTAAATTTATAACAGTGAGTGTAATTAACCAGGGGAACAAATTTACCCAGGCTCCTGGTGGACTCTCCATCACTGACAATTTTTAAAATCGAGCTGGGATGATTTTCCAAAAGCTGCTCTAGGAATTACTGGGGGGCAGTTCTCTGGCCTGGGCTATGCCGGAGGTTAGACTGGATGATCACAATGGTCCCTTCTGGCCTTGGAATCTATGAACACATGTGTCCAGTGGATTTAAAATGCTACCGATAATGTGACAGGGTAGAGAATTCTGCTCTGATTACAAAAGTAACATTACTTTATAATAATGGCCCAAAATGGCCTCAGGCATTGGGGGGCATCCTGGCCTCTCCTGTTCTCTGCCTGTGCCTCACAATGGATTAGTTGCCTGAGGACTGAAAGGTTTTGGTCTAACTAGTGTCTGGTCTGTGACGTAAGAGGTCAGAGTAGATGATCAGATGGTTCCTCCTGGCCATGCCCTCCGTGAAACTGAAAGATGTTGGCGTTTACAGTAGGATCAGTGCAGAGACTGATGCCGTTGCTGGAGATTCTCAAAAGACACAAAGAACATTAAAGCAACCAACCCCCATTGGAAGTCAGTCAGAGTAAGGCACAAATGGGAAGTAGGGCCCTTGAAAATCTCCCCCACTAAAATGTAGTAGAAAAATCAGTTTCTCTCTTAGTGGAAGAGTTGTACCACAGGGAACCAGAACTAGAGAACGGGGAGCCTTTGGTTTGGCATCTGACCCAGAAACCCCTGTTGGGACTAGAGGATGGCGATCAGACTGCCCTCAACAGACTGGATGCTGGGTTTAATCCCAGTAAAGCAGTACTAGCACAACTGTGCTAAGAGTGTGATACATAAAAGTCAATGGAGAGAGAGGTTTTGGATCCAGGAATCCAAATCCTCTGTCCTGTGAATTCATGTAAGGAGTTTGTATCTGCGGTTATGACTTGTGCCATCTAGTCAGTCACATACTTTTTGGTCCATCAGTTAGTTTCAAAGGGGTTGCACAGGCCACATAAGGAGGCCACTTGTCTGGTCTGCCATTGTATGTTCCCTAAGGCAGGTTCTGATGTCCCTCTGGCTCTCCCATGGTCTGTGGGGCCTGGGGGCAGGGCAGCTTCACGCTGGAGGGATACGCAGCCGCTCACCTAAGCAGATCCCGACGTCTCTGTGGATTTTGGAGAAGTCGCAGTAGAGTCCCTTGTGGGGATCGCAGGGTGTCTGAAGGGAACACAGCTCACCCAGCTGCCGGGCACACACTTTACAGCATCCGCAGGTATCCCACACGTGGCTGGTGCCAACAGGGCACTGCAGCGGCTGAGAGGGGCACTGGCATGGGTACGAACACGGCTGTGACTCTGCCTGGAGGACAGACAAGCCATGAAAATAAGACCCTTCCTCTCACAAACCAGCAGGGTGGAGAGATTAAAAGTGCATGAATCTGTTGCCCCAGCTCCAGCAGGATAAACCCACCTTTCTCTCCCCCTCCCCAATCCGGGTACCAGGAAGGACCTTCCATGCAGCTCCAGATGAGCAATCCCCTGACCCCAAAATCAAGTGGAGTCCAGGAAAGAGAAATCCCCCTGGGAGACAGGGTCAGCTTTAAACACTAACAGGGCAGGAGACTGCTTGGAGTTCCCCACTCTGTGGAATCGGTCCCCTTCCCTTTGACTGTATCAACGACAACATACCTGGCTCTTTCATCCGTACATCTCAAAGGAGGTCACCATCCTTAGTCCCATTTTACAGATGGGGAAACTGAGGCACGGAGCGGGGAATGGATTGGCCCAAAGTCACCCAGCAGCACGGCCAAGAATAGAACCCGGGTTTTCCAAATCTCAGTGCAGTGCTAGATTCAAAAGGCCACACTACCTCTCCAAGTAGGACCTGAGAGGTGAGCCCCCACCTTTTTGGGGACCTTAATGTAACCTCCTTCCTTGGGACCTTACGAAAGTAACACCATGCCTGCTCAAAGGACTTCAGGGTGCCCTTCCCTCCTTTCAAAAACCCACACTTCAGTATTTCTGCTGTTTGATTTCACATGGTGAACAGGGTTGGGCCGGGTCCGAAGGATGGGAACGCTCGAGGGAAAACCCGGGATGCTGTAAGTGATGTTGGTGATACAGTAGGTGGCAGCCTTCCCCCAGAGCCAGTGCTGAACCAACCTCCCAGCTGCTGTACACAGCATGGTTTGGATGAGATGTGAAACCAAGGTCATTAAAGGTGCTAAATTTGCAGTCATTAAAGAGCCCCCTTTTCATTTAAAAAAAAAATCTGTGTTAATCCCACTTGGGTAACTACATTTTGCCTGCCAACATTCTCACTATGTAGTTTCAACAGGGATATGGAGTAGTTCTTCACTTCCCATGTTTAACGGCTGTGCCATGCCTCTGTGCACCGCTATGTTCCACCCCAGAAGTGGCTGCAATTGCAGTGACAAAATGATCTTTGTGTATTATTTGCATGCGTCCGTTTAAGCTTACAACACGTTTTGAGATATCAATGTAAAGCAACAAAGCCACCAGGTTCATACATATCTGCTCTTGTATCAGACCCAACCCTGGCCGGCAAAGCAACTTCCTTGCATGTGTTGTTTGGTGACCAATAATAGTAGTAAAACTTCTCCAGCTGCTTTGGCTGTTGTTCCCAACCGCTGTCCTAACTGACGCTCGCATGGGGCTAGGAGATGCAGTGTTTTATACTCTTGCATCAATCAGCACAGTATAGTATAGGACAGGGATTTGGCTTAATCGTAACCCACAAGATCTCACCGAGTCTTACTCCGTTCAAGAGGAATTAATCTAATTCTCTTTGAAAACTCCTAGTGCAAAATCTTCTTGTAATAAATAACACCACCTTGCTGCCTGTACCACACCCATTCTCAAACCGCAGTCGAGAGCTGGCAGGATCCTCCCTGTTTCCAGCTGTGAGGGTGCGTTACAAGAAGCTGACGGTACTTCAGTGCTTTCCTCTATTTTTCATAGACGCAATTGCTGTAGCTGCCGAAGGGGCAAGTTATTCGATCAAGACTGGGTGGAGGGGTGGGTACAGGGGCGGATTATGAATGGGGGTGATGTGTGTCTGCCACAATATCTATATTAAGATGTGAGCCGTGCACTGAAAAAGTTAGCAGCAGCAGGTGTTCTCCGACACTGTGGTGGCAGCAGCCTATTTAAAGAAAGGTTTCAGAGTAGCAGCCGTGTTAGTCTGTATCCGCAAAAAGAACAGGAGTTCTTGTGGCCCCTTAGAGACTAACAAATTTATTTGAGCATAAGCTTTCGTGGGCTACAGCCCACTTCTTCAGATGCATAGAATGGAACATATATTGAGGAGATATACTATTTCACTAGGAGGGTGGTGAAACACTGGAATGCGTTACCTAGGGAGGTGGTGGAGTCTCCTTCCTTGGAGGTTTTTAAGGCCCGGCTTGACAAAGCCCTGGCTGGGATGATTTAGCTGGGAATTGGTCCTGCTTTGAGCAGGGGGTTGGACTAGATGACCTCCTGAGGTCCCTTCCAACTCTGATATTCTATGATTCTATGATTCTATGATATATATACACACAGAAAGCATGAAAAGGTGGGAGTTGTCTTACCAACTCTGAGAGGCCAATTAAGTAAGAGAAAAAACACTTTTGAAGTGATAATCAAGCTAGCCCAGTACAGACAGTTTGATAAGAAGTGTGAGAATACTTACATGGGGAGATAGATTCAATGTTTGTAATGGCTCAGCCATTCCCAGTTTCTGTTCAAGCCTAAGTTGATTGTATCTAGTTTGCATATCAATTCCAGCTCAGCAGTTTCTCGCTGGAGTCTGTTTTTCAAGCTTTTCTGTTGCAAAATTGCCACCCGCAGGTCTTTTTTTCTCTTACTTAATTGGCCTCTCAGAGTTAGTAAGACAACTCCCACCTGTTCATGCTCTCTGTATGTGTGTATATATATCTCCTCAATATATGTTCCATTCTATGCATCCGAAGAAGTGGGCTGTAGCCCATGAAAGCTTATGCTCAAATAAATTTGTAAGGCTCTAAGGTGCCACAAGTCCTCCTGTTTATTTAAAGAAACACTCTCAAAATGTCTCTCCGTTTTTTTAAATTCCCAATGACAACAATCTTAGATTAAATCCAACCGAATTTAAATCATTTCCTGACCTTGTCACTGTCCGGGCTGATTGCCTCCTTTCCCAACTTCACACAGAGAAACTGAACTGCTTCGTTTCACTTTTTGTTTATAGGCAGGTTAACTTTCTATTCAAGGGTGGCAGAGAAAGGATGGTCTGGTGCTACAGCAGCACAGACCCAGATATTCTCTTCCTAGCTCTGCCACAGAACTGCTGTGTGACTTCACACCACACATGTCACCTCACTTTGGTACACAGTACACCTGGCCCCAGTGTGTATTCCGACTCCAATCTGCTCTGGTTTTGCGTCTTTTAACTCCTGCTAGCCTTACAGAGCCAATAGAAACAACAAGGAGTCCGGTGGCACCTTAAAGACTAACAGATTTATTTGGGCATAAGCTTTTGTGGGTAAAAAACCTCATTTCTTCAGATAAAGAAGTGAGGTTTTTTTACCCACGAAAGCTTATGCCCAAATAAATCTGTTAGTCTTTAAGGTGCCACCGGACTCCTTGTTGTTTTTGTGGATACAGACTAACACGGCTACTCCCTGATACTTGACACCATGCCAGAGCCAACAGAGCAGCAAGTCAGCTGGAATCTTTTCTGGCTCATCCACTATGAAGGAAGGCTGAAGGAATTGGGTTTGTTTAGTTTGGAGAAGAGAAGACTGAGAGGGGACATGATAGCAGTTTTCAGGTATCTAAAAGGGTGTCATAAAGAGGAAGGAGAAAACTTGTTCATCTTAGCCTCTAAGGACAGAACAAGAAGCAATGGGCTTAAACTGCAGCAAGGGAGGTCTAGGTTGGACATCAGGAAAAAGTTCCTAACTGTCAGGGTGGTTAAACACTGGAATAAATTGCCTAGGGAGGTTGTGGAATCCCCATCTCTGGAGATATTTAAGAGTAGGTTAGATAAATGTCTATCAGGGATGGTCTAGACAGTATTTGGTCCTGCCATGAGGGCAGGGGACTGGACTCGATGACCTCTCGAGGTCCCTTCCAGCCCTAGAATCTATGAAAAAAACAGTGAGCAGAGACAAGGACCATGTAAGGTAGGGAATGCTAGTACAGACTGCGCAGGGTTGAAGTGGCTACCTGGAGTCGCCTCGCTAGCACCTTCCATTAGTTGTTCCACTTTCATGCCATATTAAAAGATGAATTATTCTGCAACATGCCTGAA